TTGGTCTTGCCCATTACATTAAAGAATGGAACATAATCACTTGGATGTTTCAGTCTTCTTGGATTTATTATTAGTCCTTTTGGTTAAAACTTGCCATTGTATAATGTAATGGTGGTTCTTTTTAATACAAGTTTTAAAATGTTATTACTCCTGTAACTTTGTAATCTAATTCATTTAGATATTGTTGCATGTCATGTCTTGTGAAATATTACTTGAACTACCACTCTGCCCATTTAAAGATACATGTCTGTACTTTGTTGAATTGTACTAAAATCATTTCCAGATGCCTGGTGTTTTTTTTACTTCTGGTAATTTCATATTGGTATCATAGTTTGAAAAGGTTGGCTTACAAGGAGGAATGAAAGGCAAAGTGCTTTGTTAAAACCGCAAGTGGCATTTAATGCCAATAGCTAGAATGAAAATTTTCCTAATGACTTCAGTCTTGTCTAGAGTCTTCTCTCCTGCTAGTGTAATGCTCACTTTTTCTTGCTCCATTATCTCATATGCTTTCCCCCCTCAAAAACCTTTACATTACTCCATGTGTCAAGATCATTTGTAAGTTCATAACAAAACAGGAAATCTATGTAGAAAAAGAACTGTAGTTGTACAAGTAGCTCTGACCCAGAGTATCTAGAGGTGGATGATAGAAATCTCAGCTAACCATGTCAGTCGGAAATTCTTTATCATCTACATGAAATTGCTGGGGGTGGTGGTGGTGGTCATCTGTCAGTTTGGAGTCCAGTACTATTAGTATACAGATGGTACCCAATTATATACTTGACCACAAACCACTCAGGTAATCTTGTCAATGTCCTAATGCAATATCTGGAGCTTATTCAACTCTGGATGTAGAAAAACAGGGACAGGCTCATTCCTGATGAGACTGAATAGCTGCTCCTGTTGAAGAGACTTTCCAGCTTTAATTTTGGATGGGGTGCACAAAATAAGGTAATCTTGGACTCACAGCTTCTGCTGAAGGAGCCGGTGGCAGTGGTAATCAAAAAAGCCTTTTCAATTATTCATCTAATATACCGGTATATTCCTAGCGATAAAGGAGAATATTTGTGAAAGGAGGGGTTCTTAGTGATCTCTAAACTTAGTTATCCCAAAGGTGCTTTTTCATGAGGCAACTGGACTTTCATGTTTTTCTTTGAAGATGTTTTGCTTCTCATCCAAGAAGCTTCTTCAGCTCTGCTTCTTGGATGAGAAGCAAAACATCTTCAAAGAAACACAAGAAATCCAATTGCCTCGTGAAAAAGCACCTCTGGGATAACTATGACCTGGATGTCTGAGAATCTCCATAGACATCTAAACTTAGTTTTTTTTTCTTGCAGATGCTTCATTACCAAACTAACTGGAAGTTTTTAAGAAGAGATTAGACAACCATTTGTCTGAAATGGTATAGGTGGTTGAAGTAGAAGACCTCCAAGGTCACTTCCAAGTCTGTTATTCTGTTCTGTTAAAATCAGTGCTAGTAAAGTTTGCTCTCAGTTTATATTCCAGTGGTTTGCTCTGTCAGTGTTGGTGGGAGTGGTCTTGGGGTTTCTTTGTTGAGCTTGTTTACTATTTGCTTGTTTGGCAGTTCCTTGCTTAGGCATTGTTTACTTCTTATTGGTCCGATGTTAATCTTGGTGTTAATTTTGCTCATCTGGGTGTTGATTGCTGGTGGGGAAGTGTTTTAGTCTTTTTGTTCCTTTTTTAGCTTGTTGATTGTCTCTTTTGCACAATATGTAGATGCTGTTTATGTCTATGTGTCTATTGATGGCCAACTTGTCAGAGTGCCAGGCTTCCATAAATTCTCTAGCATTTTTAGACTTGGCTAGGATGGTCATAGTTTCCCAGTTGAAACTATGGTTAAGTCTGTCCAGATGTTGTGAAATTAAACATTTTTCATCATGTCGTCTGACTGCTAGTCGGTATTCATGGTTATGTTCTACTGGTATTCTGCCTGTTTGCCCTAGAAGTGGCTGTTACAGTCTTTACACTGAATATTGTAGTAGATGACTCCTGTTTTTTTTTTATTCTGGGGCTGCTGGATGTTTTGAAGGGCTTTAGTTGGTTTGTGTGCCACACTGATTTCATTGTGGCACACAATGTGTAGACTCTGCTAATGCAATCTATGTCTTGAGACATGTTAAAACTGGAAGGTGGGTAAAAATCTTTTTGAATTGAAGACAAAGTTGATATCAGTCCTTTGGACTTTATTCAGTTTTCTCCTTCCACACACCATCCCTAAATTTATTTTCTGTGTGTGCAGTTACAAGTGTCACTGGTGGAGGAGAAAGAAAAGAAAAAGAAAAAAAGAAAAAAAAGAAAAAGAGAGAGAGAGAGAGAGAAAGAAAGAAAGAAAGAAAGAAAGAAAGAAAGAAAGAAAGAAAGAAAGAAAGAAAGAAAGAAAGAAATGTAATATATGTGAATGAAGGGAGCTAAAACGTGGAGTGGAAAAGATGCAATTGAAGGTGAAGGTTTAATTAATTAAAAACCTGGAGGGCTAAAATATATGTTAAAAAGTTTCAATTAATGTCATCTACATTGTAGTGTATGCGAAAGTAAGAATCTACAAGTTGGTGATACTTGCCTGTCAAAAAAAAAATTATGTAACGTTGAATGAATCCAACTGGAGGAAAATGTTTAGGATTAAAGGATTAAAACATGAAAACCACAAGACAACTTACAGTAAATACTTTATTCAGTAAAGTATTCCATAAAATAACCATTTAGTGACATAAGGGCAGGGCCTCTTTGACTTTAGGGAACAAGCCATTTTAGAGAGAGGAAGCTGCTACTGAGAAAGTCATTCTCCATCTTTCAGACCTCCTGATCTTTTTTTATAGTGGGCATCTAAAGCATTCTCTCTTTGCTTGACCATGTAGGGCAGCCATTTTTGTACAAAGATGAAGAAAGTTCCACAGGGCTCGTAGGCAATCACTACCTCCTTGAATAGGATCCAAAAACCTACTGGTAGCCAATGCAGTTCCTGCAAATTTGATTGTATTGTGTGCTTTACCAGATCCTTGAGAAATATATGAACGTGGGAAGCAATGTTTATTGATTTAGGGAAAATGTAAAATAAAATGAGTATCAGGGACCATGGTAATTATTAGGTCAACAGAAAAAAATAGAAATAATTGAAAAATATTAAAACCTTAAATTAAGTAGATCAATTAACTTGCCTTGGTAAAAATGTCAGGCTAGATAAGTCTAGAGAGCTACATGGTAGCAGCCTTCAAAAATTTAAAGGGCTGTCACATAGAGGATGGAGCAGAATTGTTTCCAGAAACAAGAGCAGAACAATGGGTTTGAATTACAAAGAAATAAGTCATGACTGGATATCAGGGAAAAAAATCTGAACATTCAGAACTGTTCAACAGTCGAATAGATTGCTTCAAGATATGAAGGACTTTCCTTCACTGGACATGATTAAGAAAGTCTGGATGGCCATCTGTTAGAAAGACTGCAGTAGTGATTTCTTGCATAGGCCACAGGTTTTGGATTAGATGCTCTCCAAGATCCCTGGCCACCTTTAAATTCTATGATTTTATGATTTCTTGACTGTCCCATTTGTTATAGAAAGCGTTACTTTGTGACATCCTTCTGGGTTGATAGGAAAAAAAAATGTTATTGCCTTATGACATTACTCCAGAGTTTTGAGGAGTACTAACACATCTCTGCTCCTTTAGGTGGTGATTTTTAAAAGGGTCAACATACCTAATTCCTTCAATCTGCCCTTGTAGAGCTTTGTTTCTTGTCCTTTGATCATTTCCATTACCCTTCTTTCATCTAGTTTGTTTAAATTCTTCCATAAGTATTCCAGTTTATCTAAATCTCAGTAGATTCTTTCCTTATCTGAAAATTCCTTCATGTTGTCTTCTGTTTGAATTCAAATCATAGCATAGCTAGCAAAGGAGTGAGAAAGATAATTGTACAATGAAAAATGGGACATTTACAGGTACCTGTTAACTACTTCTAGATAAAGAGCTAGAACCTTAGATCAGGGGTCCCCAACCCACGGACCGTGGACCGGTACCGGGCCGTGGCATGCCAGCAACTGATCCACACAAACAAGCAAAGCCCCATCCGTGGGATGCAGGCAGCACACAAAACCATGCAGTCTCCAGTCTGTGGAAAAACCTTTCTCTACAAAACTGGTCCCTTTGCCCAAAAGGTTGGGGATCTCTGCCTTAGATCTAACTGCTTCCAGAATTTCACTGAAATTTTGTTTTCCTTTGGGAAATAAATCTAAAAGCAATTTGTTTTCTAGCAAACCTATTGCTAGAATAGCACATCAAGAAATTTAGGACCCTAGACTAGACAACAACTTTTGCAGCAACCTCGGTTATAATTTCTCTCATCCATTTTAAAGAATTGTATTTGCTGCCTTTAGTTTTGGTTTGTGTAAATTTTAAAGGTTCATTTCTTAAATAGTTGGCTTGAAATGTTGCCTTATATATTGACTAGAATAATATATACACCAGGGTCTCCAACCACTGGTCCATGGCTTGGTAGCAGACAGTAGCCTGTTGGGAACCAGGTTGCGCAAGCAGCAGGAGAATGCCTGAGCACATGAAGCTGCATTTGTGCAGCAGCATGCATGTGTGTGAAACCATCTCCCCTCCCCCCTGCTGGCAGCAGCGGTGGTCTGCAGACCCAGAAAGATTGGGGACCCTTGATATATACCAATATATCATAATATTTGTCAATTTTCCTTGGCATCCCCTTTTTTCTCCTTTCTGAAGGTAATCCCAAAACAAAGATTCCGAAGCATTTAGTTTATGCTGCTTCATATGATTTTCTATTATATAGATCTTTGTATGCAATAGGGTTCTGTTCAGCCCTGAAATTATTTATATTTATTGTAACTGTGAAGACAAACAGAGGAGGTAGACATGAATCATTCCAAAAACAACAAGTCCTTCAAGTGGTCTTAGTGATTCTTTCATTAATTATTTTGCTAATAAAGAGTTAACTTAATGATTGGAATTCTGCTGGGTTTTAATAATATGGCAGCTAATGAAGAAAAGGTAACTGGCTTGATAGAAACCGGGAGCAAGCTTGCTGCTGACGGGAACATTTACTCTGACAAAATTATGGAAAAAGTTCAGCTGATTCAAGAAAGACACAGGGCTAATGTCACAAAATCACAAGAGGCGTTTGTGTTACTGAAGGACAATAATGACCTGCAGAATTTCCTACAAAATTGCCAAGAGCTTACCATGTGGATTGAAGAAAAGTTGCTTACTGCTCAAGATACATCATATGATGAAGCACGGAATTTGCACAGCAAATGGCTGAAGCATCAGGCTTTTATGGCAGAACTTGCTTCCAATCAAGGATGGCTAGAAAAGCTGGATGAGGAAGGACAACAGTTGGCAAAGCAAAAACCCCAGTATGCAGATATTGTGTTCCAGAAGCTAGAGGCACTTCATCAATGTTGGGATATGCTGCAAGCAACCACAGAGGAAAAGGCACAGCTCCTGTTTGATGTTAACCGCTCCGACCTTTATGCACAGAGCTATGCTGACCTTAGTGCATGGATCAGTGAGATAGAGGCACAGTTAAAATCTGATGTCCAAGGGAAAGATCTCACAAGTGTTAACATTCTTCTAAAGAACTTGAAACATCTGGATGAGCAAGTCAGCTTGCAGAAGAAAGAGATGGAAGGCTTACTTTCTCAGGGCCCTCCAGTTAAGAGAGACATGGATGAAGTGGAAAAATGTTAGGTATTGTTTCTGATTGTGACAGTAAAGAGATTATATTGATGTTAAATTTAATTACAGCAGCCAGGTTGTTAGTAGGGCAATGTTGGAAGAAGGAATCTTTGCCTACATTGCAAGAATGGTTTTTTAAAGTTTCTTATTTGGCGGAAATGGCAAAGATTTCGGCTTTCTTGAAAGATCAATCGCAGGAGAAGTATCTCCTGGTATGGAAAAGATGGATAGATTTCGTACAATATAAGTTGGATATAAAAAATATTACTTAGTTTTTGAATAATTTATAATTAAAGTTTAAGATATTTCTTAGATATTTTCTTTTATTTTTATTTTTTTTTAATTTTTCTTTTTCTGTTTTTTCTTTTCTTTCTTCTTGTATTTTTTTATATATTGTTGTTAATTAATTCATAATTTGTTTAATTAACGTATTTAGATTTGTTTATGGTTTATAAGTGTTTCAAGATTCTTTTAAATTTTTTTTAATTAAGCCTGTATTCAGCTCTGGGAAGATTGGGGGAGGGGAGGGGAGGGGTGGGAGGGTGTGGGGGAGGGGAATCTTTTCTTTTTGTAAAACCTAAAAATTTTCAATAAAAATAATAATAATATGGCTTAAAATGTACATGATACTTTCCCATCTAAAAAGGAAGAAATGGGACATGTACCAAAGCTTGCTCATGTTGCTATCAGATTTTTTCTTTTGCTGATGATTCTTAAAAGATGGATGGTGGCCATAAGTACAATTTGCTCAAAGATTTGCTTATTGCTTTTCACTTAAAATATTTCTAAATTTCTTCAGCCATACACCTTCCAAGGCAGAGTTCCAAATAAAGTGAATCAAATTAATTTAAACACAATAAAGCCATCTATATTGATTTGAATAAACAATAGGCAGATGAAACACTAAAGGCAACAGACCACGCCTCGCCATTAAAACTATTGGGCAATTAATAAGTAAACAATAACATGATGCTGAAAACACTGTGAAACACTCTATTTCTTTAAGAGAATGTTCCAAAACCATTTCAGAAAGGACTCTGTTTGTAGTTCTCTAGGGAAGGTACTCAGAAAGATTTTAAGAGAGACCTGTCAAATCTGGCGCCTTTCTAGGGCAAAAGGTTCAAAGTTGGGAAGGTGGCTTTAAGATGTTATATTGTTTGGAAGTTTGGGTTCCAGAATAGTAGTAGTAGTAGTAGTAGTAGTAAAAATAATAATAATAAAGTAACAAAGTAATAAAGTAACAACAACCATTTAGGACTCAAAGGGATGGACTAGCACCTTGACTTGATAATGGAAATAAATATGCAATAATCAATGCAATCTCTAAACTTGGTAATAGGAACAAATCTGGGCATATTATCAAGATTTCTGCATTAATTAAAATTCTTCCAAGTTGATTGCAATGAGATATTGTACAGTATCTCACTGTATTTCAAGCAGGATTACTTTCTACATCCATGCATATCTATTACTAGGAAAAGTTATGGATGAACCATAAAACCAAATCTAGGCTATTTTCAAGTCAGTACATAGTTCCCAATGGCATTCTGAAAGGCAGAATTTCAAACCAGGTAGTTTGGGTTAGGGGCAAATGTCAAGTTTTCTATCTGATTTTTTTTGAGCCAGTGGCTCCACTACCTTTATTTTGGTAAATTCTTTGGGTCAGAATAATAGAATGCAGAGTTGGAAGAGATCTTGGAGGTCACTTCAGTGTCCAATGAAAGTTGGATTATTGTGTTTAAACCAGTGGTTCTCAACCTGTGGGTCGCCAAACAACGCAGTCCGCCATTTTTTTCCCCCTTTTCCTTAGCTGTGCTACTCCCTTTTATTCTATTGGCTTTTGAAAGCCAATAGAATAGACTCTCTTGAATGAGTCTAATTCTATTGGCTTTCAAAAGCCAATAGGAATTGTCCAGGCTGTCTCTGCCCTGCTGAGCCCGCCAAAAGTCCCATTCTGCACCAGTTGAGTAGTCCTCGACTTACGACCGGTTGAGTAGTCCTCGACTTACGACCGGTTTGGGGTCGCGGCATTAAAAAGGTTGAGAACCACTGGTTTAAACAGTGTTCCCAACCATGGGGAAACTCATGATCTCATGGTGGAAAGTTTGTTCTGGTATATTATGTTTGGAACATACTATATTAGAAAAAAAGCAGCAGCCAGTATGGTATGAGCCACAATGGCATGAATGGATGTTGCTGGCATAGGTTCCTTCACCACCCTTTCTAGGAAGGTCAGTGGCAGAGAGCTGATTTATCTCCAACTATTGTGATAATGGATGCTTTCAACTAGGTTTGGCTATAGCTGTACACAGCCTCAGTTATTTCAGTCTGGTTGTGTTAAGGTCATAAAGTGTCAAAGACTAATGCAAATATGATGCCAACTTGGCAACAGCTCAGCTGTATGCATGTATTTCAGGAATCTCTTGAAAACCTTAAGAGAAATTAATGGCAGCAGGTGGTCTCTGGCTTTGGGAATGAGCAAGACTTTGATAAAATGCATCACCCTCTCTTTCATTGACTCCTTTTTTTTTTTGAGCCCATTCTTTAAAGCCAAACACATGAACAGAGAGCGAAACTTCTGGGAAAAAAAGGAGAGTTATCTTATGGCACCATTTTGTTCATGTTTACTCAAAAAAAAATATATATATCCCTTGGTCTTTAGTGAATCGTTCTCCCAAATGTTATAGGATGTCATTTGCATAATGACTTTCTTCCACATATATTTATTGAGAGTGTAGAACATGGAACATTCCATGTTAGTTTGTCAGATTCTCTGTTCTGAAGCACTCATGTACTTCTCTTCTTGGAAATGTTTTGATGTTTTTCAAATATATTTTTATTCCTTCAGGCTCTATTTTGAGTGATATTGAAAAAAGGTGGTCTCACTTCTTTCTGTGAAATTATCAATGATGATTTTAAAATAATTTTAATTTTTATTATTTAAATTGCTTTTTATGTTTTATTTGCTTGTCAAAAGTCACTATGGGCATCTCACAAATTAAACTATAAATTTAATAATAATAATAATAGTAATATTAATAATAATAATAATAATATGGCAGCAAATGCTCATTAAATAAACAAATAGCTAAATTAAATTACATCAAAATAATGTAATTTCCCTTCTGCTTATAGAGATTTATAAAGGTCCAAAGGCATGTTTGCTTTTATTTATTATTGAATGTATAGTTGTCCTTATAAAGGTTTCTGATAGTGACCTGGAGTAGCCAATACAATAAAAAGTAAATTAAATTAAAAGGTAACATACCAACTGGATAAGCAGTAGTATAAAATTATTTTCAGAAAGTGCAAAACTAGAAAGCAAAAATGTTTCAGCTGTTCCATTTCTATGAGAAAGCATTGCACAAATGTCACAACTACATACATGCATCTGATTTAGTTGAAATCTGAATATGAATAAAACATAATTTAGTTCCTTTCCTTAGATGAACTGCTACTTCCTATCCTTAAACTGTCAGAAATCTAGGCCAGTATGAAATTTGCTGATTATAATCCAATCTCTTCTGCTTCAAATCCCATTTAATGTCAATCACCAGAATTCCCCCCAACTTGCTGGGTGACAAGGTCTAATACATTTTATGTATCTTAAAACTGCTATTGAATGATGATGCAAGAACAGAGAAAATACAACTTTAATTGGTACACTTAAGAATAATTTAGAATTCACTCAATTATGGGCTAGGAATAAAATGAAGACAATTTCATCAATACAATATAGAAACAAAAGATATTGCCAGGACATTGATTTAAATAACAACACAATGGTCATAATCCAATACTATATTCAAAGCAAGACAACATCAATTTATCTAAAAATGGTCTACAGATCTTGAAGATCTTGCAAAATGAAACCAGTCTGGAACAAGCCAATATGAAGAGATCATGAGTTACCATGGCAAGTTCCTTCCACTAGTGATAGGCTAGAATTGGCATTTCAGCTGAACCTGGGCAATGGCCCCTAGATATAGTTTCCACCTGGTAAATCAGCAGCTAATTAATCTGGCTTAACAAGAGACAACACTGTGGCCAACAATTAGTTTTAATGCTTAGGTTCAATATTGTCCTGTATCTTCCCATTTGCAATAGCCTCCATCTCTAGTACTATCTATCAATAGAATCTCCAGCTCAACGCAGCCCTGGGAAAACATTCTGATGATACCATATTGGTATTGATGGAGGATTCTCTCAGAGGCTTCATATAAATAATAAAAATCTGGGGGCGGGTGGATAAATGTTGAGGTGCCCTCAAAATAGTGGCAGTCAGACAAACCAATCTTTTTTTCCCCTCCAATCACGAGCTGGAACCATCCAACAAGGAAGGAATGGAACTATTGAAGTCCTCCAATCTCCAGCTCTTTCAGGAGGTCAAAAAACATACTATGATTGATGGCAGCAAAGGCCACTAAAAAGTAGTAGAACCAGGAGGGGTATATTTCTATCATCCAAGTTCCAGCAAAGATCATGCACTAAAACAATTAATGCCATCCCTATCCCATGGCTCGGCCTCCACCATGACTGAGAAAGGTCAGGTATTCTCTTCATCCTTAGTTGATTGTCTGCAATCATAGCAATAACCTTCCCCAAAAATGCAAAGATAGAGATTGGACCAAAGAGCCCCCATGGTCTATGAAAAGCCACAGCTACTTAAAAGGTTGATTTTGGACCATAAGAAAGGCTGAGCACCAAAGAATTGAGGCCTTTGAACTATGGTGCTGGAGAAGACTCCTGCGAGTCTCTTGGACTGCAAGGCGTTCAAACTGGTCAGTCCTAGAAGAGATCAATCTTGACTGCTCTTTAGAAGGCTAGATCCTGACATTGAAACTCAAATACTTTGGCCACCTAATGAGAAGGAAGGACTCACTGGAGAAGGGCCTAATGCTGGGAAAGATTGAGGGCAATAGAAGAAGGGGACGACAGAGAATGAGATGGCTGGATGGAGTCACTGAAGCAGTAGGTGTGAACTTAAATGGACTCCAGAAGATGGTAGAGGA